TGCTGTTCCATTAGATATGAAAGTTAGGAAACAGAGACTGCACCTGTGCTTGCACTTACACTCGGGCACTATAGTCCCGCCCTTAATAGCTGATGGCTAGTCTTCATTGAAGCTGGTTGCCATGACCGAAATTCGGTCTGGAGGATGACAATATATTTATTATTAAACATAACTAATATTTAAAACGAAGCCATTTGCTTTAATTGATCTACATATTATTTAATGTGATACGAGGTAACATAATTTTATTTTCTTATCATGTAATTGCAGGCATGAAGTATTATTTTCAGCAATTAAGACATGCCTTATCTAACTTTATTTTAACGCACTAGCAATTGCATATCTGCTTTCAATTGCCTTGTCATAAGATCGGTATGTCAAAACTGCAACAAATGGCTATAGGTGGCCTTGAAAGGTCTGAAATAGAGTTGCCAACCCTCCTATAAAATACTGTATTAAGTCTCAACTAGGGTTGCCAACCCTACTATAAAATACAGTATTAAGCCTCAACTAGGATATTATATTGTATAGTGGTGTTGGCCACGCTGCAGCTATATTAGTAGTATAGTCGAATGGGTCGGCTGACCGGGGAAGGACCACGCTCTCACAGAATACCAGCGTAAAATAGTAGCTTAATGCTGCTGTGTTTCATATGGTGAATGTAGATAACTGGGAACCCTTTTTACTAGCAACGAGGCATTCCATCTTAGTCCTCACGGGTGAGAACGCATCTGCATTTTGATTCGTAATCGAGGATACATGTAGATATCTATGGGCCACAGCAACCACTTCCACCATCAGGTGAACTGTGTGCTTGTTTGTCACCCTATCCTATAAAAAAAAATACAGTTTTGTACAATAAAGTTTGGCACCCTCTCTGATCTAGTGGTCATAAACCCGCTTACTGATCCTGGTTGCACATATATATTTAAAGCAGTCTGCACAGAGCATTTAAATACAAGACCGTGTTTGTCACGTTTGACGCACACCCTACTCAACTGAATGCTTTCCACCGTGGTCACCTGAGATTCCAAGAACAGATTAAAAACTAACCAATACTTGAAATTGGTTATAAAACATTGAAGGTAATCCTACTATATCCGAGAGTTGTTATAAAAGTGATTTGTTTAAAAGGGGACTTGACTGATCCCTATTCTTTTTGTCACAATAAGTGATATGTAAGTGATATTAGTTGAAATTTTTTTTATTCATAGAAAAAATAAAATTACTTTATAATAATGAAAACATGACTGCATGTAACCTATATGAGCAGTTGAAGTAAAATTTATTAATCATCATCATCATTACAGCCCTTCACAAGTCCACTGCTGAACATAGGCCTCCCCCAAGGTATGCTACAAAGCACGGTCCTGAGCCACCTGCATCCATCGACTTCCTGCATGTCTTACCAGATCGTCACTCCATCTAGTGAGGGGTCGCCCTACACTTCGCCTACCGGTACAAGGCTGCCACTCGAGAACGTTTTTTCCCCAACGGTTGTCGGTTCTTCGAGCTATATGGCCGGCCCATTGCCACTTCAGCTAACTAATCTGTTGGGCTATGTCGGTCACTCTAGTTCTACTGCAGATATTCTCATTTCTAAGTTTATCACGCAGAGAAACCCTGAGCATAGCCTTCTCTATAGCTCGCTGAGCGACTTTGAGCGTCCTCATACGGCCAGCAGTGAAGAATTCCGATGATATCCCGAAAGTCAGCCTGAGTGAGATTAGAATGGCTCTCCAGCACCTTAAAAACGGCAAGTCCCCGGGCGAGGATGGAATTACAGCAGAGCTTCTGACAGCGGGTGCAAAACCGGTACTTGAAGTCCTTCAGAAGTTCTTTAATTCCGTCCTCCATGGAGGCACTACTCCCGAGGCGTGGAACAGAAGTACGGTGGTCTTGTTCTTCAAGAAAGGTGACAATGCCCTCTTAAAGAACTACAGACCGATATCCCTTCTGAACCGCGTCTACGTGCTGTTTTCGAGTCATTACGAACCGTCTCGCACGCAGACTCGACGACTAGCCTAACAAGCGTTCTGTAGTTTTATCAGATCACATACATACCTTCGGCAAATGGTCCTCTGAAGAGTACAATCTGCCACTTTGCCTGGCATATGTGGACTATGAGAAAGCCATTGATTCCGTCGAAATTTGGGCTGTGCTACAATCTCTTCAGCGGTGCCAAGTTGATTGTCGGTATATCGAAGTGTTGAAGTGTTTGTACAGTAGGGCTACGATGGCTATCCGAGCACAGAACCAGAGTACAAAACCTATCGAACTGCAGAGAGGTGTAAGACAGGATGACGTTATTTTCCCGAAACTCTTCACTGCTGCATTGGAAGACGTTTTCAAGCTACTGGATTGGAAAGGATATGGTATTAACATCAATGGCGAGTACATCACTCACCTTCGATTTGCCGACGATATAGTCCTTTTGGCAGAATCGCTGGAGGACTTAAGCACTATGCTCAATGACCTCAATAGTGCCTCCCAACAGACAGGTCTTAAGATGAACGTGGACAAAACAAAGATCATGTATAATTTCCATGTTACAACTATGGCCGTAGTTGTTGGGAACACTAAGTTGTTGACGAGTGTTTACCTGGGACAAATAGTCCACCTAGGTAAGTCCAACTTCGATCAAGAGGTCAATCGACGGATTCAACTCGGCTGGGCAGCATTCGGGAAATTACGATACATCTTTTCGTGAGGTATACCTCAAAACCTGAAAACTAAGTTGTACAACTAGTGCGTGTTGCCAGTGATGACCTACAGAACTGAGACATGGTACTTAACTCGAAATTTATTAATGTTAATATATTATGTATATATGCATGACATACAATGTTACACATATCATGACTGCCTATTTAAGTTTATTTCAAAACCAGGGTGGTATATACAAATTAATGTCTAAGTGATTATATTGTGTGTAGACATTAATTATAAGATGATCAAGCTACCCAAGTTCCTCGAGGAACCTTAGTAAGTACTTAATTAAAGACTTTTTTATAAATATAATATGTTACGTTTTACTCTATATACTCTTACATCTTACGTAAGGTAAATTAAAGACTAAATTTCATTGCCTGTTTTTGCACCCACCCATGGAATTTTTTCTTCAAATTTAAATAGGAAAAATTTACTGTCAAAAACTAGTTTATCACAAAGCAAAAATAATATCACATTCATTAGTGAAATATAAGCTAATAAAATCCATTTATTATGACTCGATATTGCAAACTGCATTGGTAAAACTTAGGGGTAAAATAAATATAATATAAATTAGTTAACTTCTTATTTTTAAGTTGTTGTTGTAACAGTTGTGCTAGCTATAGGCTCAATTTTTTGTTGTGCAAATTTTACTGTATTCAAAAGATTGTACTTGTTTATTTTTATATTTTAGAAGGGGCAAACGAGCATTCGGCTCACCTGATGGTAAGTGACTACCGTCACCCATGTACAACCACAACACCAGTGGAACTGCAGGTGTGTTGTCTGCCTTTTAGAAAGGAATAAGCTCGTTTCTTGAATGTCTCTCATTCATATCAGTACGGAAATGTCGCCAGTGGTAAACAATTCCACAGAGAGGTTGTACGAGGAAGAAAACTCTACTACCACCACTGTGTGTGTTTTACTAGTAAAACACACACAGTGGTGGACCGCCAAGCATCCAGATGGTAAGGATGGTATGTAATGTCTAATACATAAAACATATGCATTCAAAAACTTATATCACAACTCGAGAGGAAATGATGAAGACAGTACAATTTTATTCAACACTTAATTTAGAATCCATACCTGATTAAGCTTTCATTGAAAGTAATACAACAGTTTTCAAAAAAAAAGTTTGATTACCTATTCGCAATCCATATTTGAATTAGAAGTTAACTGTAAAGACAGAATTAAGGGCACCTAAAGACATTCAATATAATGAGAACAAGTAAAATTTTTAAAAGTTATGCTGTAATTTTTTTTAATATACCACAACTTTTTCATTTCTGATTTGATATTGTCATCTGATTCCGACCTATTTTAAACTAACTTCCCGTTTAGATAGAGACTTTTCAAGTCATGGGGAAGATAGTTTAAAATCAATTACTAAATTTGACTCAAATAAACACAAGAAAGCGAGTTAATAAAAAGACCTTTAAAGGGCAGCCTACTTGCAAATGCAGAAATAGATTTATTACAAGTATTAATATATAACCAATTGCTACGAACATCATAAGAGAAATTGAACTTACTAGCCATTCTAATTTTATTAACATAAATTATGACTAAATTATATCAGAAATTAAAAAAGAAATATTTTAATCATTCTATATTACATCTTATATTGCTTAGAAAGAAACTAACCTCATTAAATAATGCATGCTGCATTGTTTATAGTTATCATAGCTAATAACAATTCATACTAGTAATGTAGCTCAAACGATTTATGTTTTTAAAAATCATATTTAAATAAGTGTTGCTTCCTTTGTGAACATCGTAACGCAAAGTAATGGATCTTAGCCCAGAGCCATGTCTACTTGGCGTGTGTTTGCAAAATGAAAATACTTGCCAAGTAGACATGTAGCAGCTTAGTGTGTAAACACTGGCCTATCAGTAACAGAAGATTATCGATGAACTGTTAGAGGTTATATCTATATAGAAGATATTTAGACATGTCCGTTTAAAATCTTAGATAAAAAAAAGGAATAGTTAATTTTTAGTTATTTTGAGCAACAATTATAATAAATAGTGAGCATTTGACCTATAAATTGTATAATGTATTTTGTGAAAAATTTTATAACAAACATAAAACATTTTTGACATAACCTTTTTGTACGCCTATTCATAATTTTAGTTATTTTCAAAAAAAGAAATAATGTTTAATAAATACTAAATAAATTCAACTGTAACAAAAGGGTCACTTATGACTTATCAAGCTTGAGTATTTGTTTTAGTGAAATAAAACACAACAATAAAAGGTAAGGAAAGTGAACATCTCAACTTACTGAATCATTCTCTTGTCTCAAAGCTTGGTATAGCTTCTCCCGCTTAGAAAGGAGGTCGTTCTGCTGTTGTATCAGATCCAAATGATAGATGAGAAGATCTTTTAATCTCTTGTTCTGGCCCTCAGCCGCTGCCAACTTTTCAGAAAGACGACTGACCTCAACTTCAGCACTTTTATCTTCTGTGACAACACAATGCGTAGAGATTTCTACCTCCTTTTCCAATTGCAGCGATCTACGATCGGCGGTATCCGAGTGACAGGCGTAGATGTGATCGAATGGAAAGCTCAGGAGACCGTCTTTTGTGTCCAATTGATTAAGGGTTGTGAGTTCCGCCGAAAAATTCACCAAATTCGTTTCATTTACACTACTGCGACTGTTCATTTTTAAGAACCCGATATTAATCTCGTTTTCGACGAGCCCACCGGCTGTCAAATACTAACCACCCAACCGCACAATTGTTCGTAGCATTACAACGGATTCTTTAACAGTTTATCACACATCAGTACTTCACATGGAAAATAATTAACGCGATTGTCTGTAATTACATTGTCAAAACAGACTCCAATCTACGTACTTGTCTACCATTCTATTCTGACATTTCTTTTATGCACATGTAAAATGATAATAGACGCAGCTATGCATTTATTAGTATCACGGGTCAATGATCTAGATTTTATGACGAGACGCAACATTCATAACAATAAAATAATAGTCAAATTCATATTTACATTACATCACTTAAAAATACTTGATTTTATGTAAATCAAATAAAATTTGTAATAAAATTTATTAACTAGCGTCAAGGCGTCAACCGTAGACATCATTTAACTTTTTGTTTGAAAATTCAAACATAGAGGTCAGGGGCGTAGGTAGGCATTGTGAAACAGCCGCTGACCATAGACAAAATGTTTGATATAACATATTTTACGATGCCAGTGATTTTTGAACTAAATAAATACACATAATATTATACTTACTTTTTTAATTAGCATAAGCCAGCACGTAGCTACAATCCCACCTGATGGTAAGTGGTGATGTAGCAGCTTAAGATGGTAAAGCGCACTGTTTTAGCAAAAACCTATTCACTCTTGCCATGAATACACCGACATTGTAATCATATGGAAAGACAGACGCTGGCAACTTATTCCACTCTTTTGCTGTACGCATGACGAACGACGTAGGAAACCGTATGGTTCGAATGCGTGGTAAGTCAACAACGAAAGAGTGGAGACCGGCCGAACGTCTGGTGGTCCAATGGTGAAAGGGAGATGTAGGAATTAAATTATGCAATTCGTGCGCACACTCTCCGAAATGCATCCTGTAGAAGACCGTAAGGCAGGGTAATTTGCGCCTGTGTTCGAGGCTGATAAGATTGGTTTTAACTAAATTCGGGTTACCAATAAGCCTCTTAGCAAGCTTTTACATTGAGTCCAAAACTGCTAGATGGCATTTTGCAGCACCAGCCCATATATGGCGGCAATACTCCATGAACGACCAGACTTGCGCTTATTTTTTGTATAAAGTAAGCGTCTGTCCCGGTGTGAAGTATCGCCGCACCTTAGCAAGGACTCCTAGCTTCCTTGCAGCTGCTTTGGTCTTGGACTCAATGAACCGCCCGAAATTCAGATTTGAGGATATCTCAACCCCCAGCAACTGGCGGCGGTCGGTGTATTCCAGTGATACATTTCGGAAAGAAGGAGCCAAGATGAGCTGGCTCCTTTTTGCAGTGAAGAGACACGCTTGTGTTTTGAGGACGTTGAAATTCACAGGATTAGCATCATCCCATTCGGAGACTGCCTGTGGTGTAAAATTCACACGCTCTACCATAGCTTTTCTTTCGGACTGGATTTGATCCCGGCTAGCACGAGGACTTGGTTAGTATCTCTCCACAACTGTGCTGTCGTCTGCGTACCCATAAATGTCGGGCATAAGCAAGCAAGCAACAGGTTAACATGCAGCAGGAAAAGAGTTGTGGAGAATTAGTCAATCAGATCAGGGGATTAGGCGTACGCTGAAAGCTTAGCCAGAAGGCTACCGTGCCAAACTCTGTCAAAGGCCTTTGAGATATCAAAGGTAACAGCAAGTGCTTCCCCGCTGTTCTCGAGTGCCTTACCTCACACGTGTGTGGCATACGCTAGAAGGTCTAGGTATTCCATTAAGTGGGCGTTCAATATACACTCCATAATCTTGCAAAGTATGGAGGTAATTGAGATTGGCCGATAATTGGAAGGGTCGGCATGGCTGTCTTGTTTTGGAACAGGCTGCACGTTGGCCAGCTTCCAGGATTTCGGCACTATTCCAGTCCTAAATGAGAGGCGGAATAAGCGTGTCAACACAGGAGACAACTCAGGTGCATAAGCCTTTAGAACTATAGTTGGTATGCCATCTGGTCCCCTAGCTTTATTCACCTCTAGACATCGCAAGGTTTTGAGAACCTCCTTATTTGTGATACGACTCTGTGACATAGTGGTTCCGCAGTGAAGTAATTTAGGTGGAAAGTTGTTGCCACCAACCAGACGTGAATTATAGGCAAATAGAGATGCCAACAAGTGCGCTTTATCTTTAGCCTTACGTGCCAGTGTGATTGTGTTGAACCATGGCCGACTTTTGCTACCGGTGGGAGCATCAGAAAAGTGGATAAAATACTCCATAGCTTGACGCAACACATTGGTTATCGAATCCACGCAGCTCGACGGGTCCGAAAAAGAGAAACAGACCTATCGCCAAGGATAGGATGCAAAAAGTGTCGCATCTCATCCCAATCAGCTGATTTGTACCGCCATATTCGTCGAACACCTTGAGACTTGTAATCAGATGGAGAATATAACGGTACAGATTTCACTAAACAGTGGTCAGATGTACCCAAAGGGGAGATAACCCGTACTTCATACCTATCTGGTTCGGTAGTTAGCAGAAGGTGCAAGCAATTGGCTGTGTGACCGTCTACATCGGGTACCCTATTCACTTCCTTTATCAGCTGAAAAAGACCTAGCGTCAAGGCAAAATTCTACTCCTCTCTTCCAGCATAGTCAGTCTTCTAGTATGGGAACAGTCAGTCTTGGTGACAGGCGTTAAAGTCATAAAGGCATAAAGGATTTTTTCAATACCTGTTTCTACCATTACCCAGATTGTCTAAAAAGTGGGATCTTCAAGGTGGCGGAGACGCTGGAAGCAGATGTCATTGCGGACTGACACCGGCACGTAGATGGAATTGGTGCTTCAGGGAGAATCCAGGATAGTCAAGGTACGCCGCATTAAATGAACATCCAATTTGAGTCTCCGTCAAGAAAAGTAGGTGCGACTTCTCAGCCTTGGACTGCGCTGCGATTAGAGTGAAATTCTCGAATATTAGTGAGGTGCACTTTTAATGAGAGGATGTGCAACCGCTGTTTAGCCATACTTTTCTTTTTGTTTTTTGACACATATTAGTACGTGGTAGAGCCATGCTGCAGTTATATTAGTAGTATAGTTGTAGCACGAATGGGTCGGCTCGACCGGGGAAGGACCACGCTCTCACAGAATACCAGCGTAAAACAGTAGCTTAATGCTGCTGTATTTCGTATGGTGAGTGTAGAGAACCGGAGACCCTTTTTACTGGAAACGGGGCATTCCATCTCAGTCCTCACGGGTGACAACGCATCTGCATTTTGATTTTAATGGAGGATAGATGTAGATGTCTATGAACCGCAGCAACCACTTACCATCAGGTGGACTGTGTGCTCGTTTGTCACCCTATTCTATATAAAAAAAACATATTAGAGTTAAGAGTGAATATGGGTGGAGAATGGCAGTTGAACGAGGCGTTGCATTAGCAACCAAACGATACTACCGGAGCTACTGTGCCCATGGGAACTTGATCTGGAGACTGCGGGGACGCCCGAACCCTCCAGCGATCGCCATCGGGTCCTCTCGCCCGGTTGCTAACCGGCACGATGGAGCCACCCTGGGATTTTACGTTAGTTGGCGGGGCAGCCTCTCATTACTAGCTAATTCCCTAATTGGCACCTAACTACCAGCGGTCGCCCCGCGGGACACCACGCTTCGGATCCCTCTACCCTCCACAACCAAGCACCCGACACAGCAACAACTGAAGCTGCACCCGATTCACACACACAACGCTGCTGTTCAGACCCATTCCTACCAAGCATCATGCCGGAACACGACATCGTCATTTGGCGACAAGACTTTGCATTGGTGGGTGGTAATCAAAAAACCAACGGCCGAAACCTACCACCGAAATTGGTGCTGCTAGTTTAGTACTACCCGAGAGACACGTGAGTATTTCCTACGGACGCGAGCAGCCTCGCCCCCCAAACATTAACAGGTATGTGCAATCATTTGATTAAAATCATAGAGCAGTACAGGTGACCGGTCGCCCAGGCGTTTCCTTCTGTCAAAGTATAAGTTAACGCGGTCCTATGCGTACAATAAAACTAATCATCTTTTTGTAATCCTACGTTAGTTGTCTGGAAGAAATTGCTATCAGCAATAAGACCGCCCATTGCATACTTCTTTTGTATTTATAATCTGTAATTTTTGTATGGTGTGCAGTAAAGAATATTAAATAAATAAATAAAACAAATCTAGTTGCACATCTGATTCCACGTCCTACAATTCCTATAATACAATATATATAGTCCTACAATTCGGTTTAACACTGATTTTATTGCAAAGGAATACACTTTATATAGTTATATGATTATTATAAAAATTATATATAAGCAGAAGTACGGAAGTTATACACGTTTACGTAATTAACAAATAACATTATTTCTAAGTGACCTAAATTAATGAGTAATGCATGTTTTATTACGGTAACCCGTACTTCCTGCTGGCCTAAAAGAGGGAACTTATGAAGTAAGTACACAACAACAAGAATATAACAATCTGAAATAAAGTAAACGAAGTAAAGTAATATAAATTCTTAAATATTTTCATCACTGCACTACTGCGACGGAATGTTCAGTCGCACAGATCGCGATCTGGTCCTCGGGGGTGTGACAGCCTTTTGATCTCCGCTCCTTACCGCCGCCATCGGGATTGAGTTCGCAGAGGTGTTCGTCACAGCCAAGCTAGGGATGATCGATGTTACAGAAACATCGATGATGATATCGATGTTGACATCGATAGCTTAACATCGATGTTCGATGTTTATCCTACTTAAAACATTGATGTTGGCCATTATCGATGTTATAGTACATGTATCTATTTAGTAGGTTAAAATTAGATGAACAAAAAATTAGTGTTGTTTACGGTTTATTATTAATGAAATTAAAGAAATTAATAAAACGTTTAGTGTGAAACAGTAATTTTAAAAATGGGAAAAACTTAATAAATGTTTAGTTAATTTGTTATAGTTTTTGCCGATAATGACGAATATT